AGGACATTCTATAAGTGCCAGATCTATGCCGATAAAGTTCATGTACCTCCAGTTCCTTTGAATGTCATGACTTCTCCTTGTCCATTTTCAATGTGGGACATTGATATGATCGGAGAACTCAAGCCTACTTCCTCTAATGGACATCGTTTCATTCTTGTCGCCATTGACTACTTTACAAAGTTGGTTGAAGCATATTCATTTGCCTCGATTACCAAAAATGTTGTAGCCCGGTTCATCAAACATAACCTTATCTGTCGGTATTGTATCCCTAAGAGAATTATCACTAACAACAGTACCAACCTCAACAACTCCATGATCATTTAACTCTGCACGCATTTCAAGATCAAGCATCGCAACTCTTCTCCATAAAGACCTAAGATGAACAGTGCAGTGAAAGCCGCTAACAAGAATGTAAATAAGATTGTGCAAAAGATGGTGGTGACCTCCAAATACTGGCGTGAGATGTTACCATTTTCTCTTCATGGCTATCGTACCTCAGCGCGAACATTAACTGGGGCAACCCCATTCTCTCTAGTCTATGGTATGGAAGTTGTCCTGCCTGTCGAAGTTCAAATCCCTTCTCTAAGGATTATGAAAGAAGCATACTTATACGAAGATGAGTGGATTCAAAATAGGTTGGATCATTTGAATTTGATTGACGAAAAGAGGCTGGCGGCTGTCTGTCATGGTCATATGTATCAAAAACATATGATCAAATCTTTCAATAAGAAGATCAAGCATCAGGCGTATCAGGCTGGTGACTTGGTAATAAAGTGCATTCTTCTACCACAAGGTGATCCTAGGGGTAAATGGACTCCCACCTACGAAGGGCCATTTATTGTCAGGAAAGTATTCTCGGGCAGTGCTATGATGCTAACCACTATGGACAGTGAAGATTTCCCCCACCCTGTGAATGCGAACATAGTAAAAAAAATACTAAGCATAAGAATGACCCTCTAGGTTTACATACCTAGGAAAAAATAAGGGCATCCCGGTGAACCAAAATGGTTCGGGAAAAAATTAGGGATATATACAAAAGATTGTACACCTGGAAAGTTGAAAACTTGAAAAGACGGCTTGGGCAAAAAAGGGTATCCTGGTGGACTGAAAACCTGAAAGGGTGGTCCAGGAAAAAATTAGGGATTAAAAGCGTACGACTATGTCCCGTTGGATCACTTACATGCAAGCTTTATTACCAAAGTCGAAAGTTTAAATGGTTCAATCAACTTCTTCCGATGGCAAGGGACGAGATGTTCAAAGACATAGGGGAAATAGCAGAGTTTGGAACCCAATGAGATCACTTCCACGTGGCTATACATTTTATTTTCACTTTGTACTCTTTTCATTTCACGATGATTTCCTCTTACTAGGATGTCTGTCTCTTTGTACAAAATCGCCTGTTTGGAGGCAAATTATCAATACAAATACATCTTAAAGTTCAAACTCTCGGTTTTTCTGTTTTGTTTGCAAAAATGTTTGTTGTACCCTAAAATTTTCCCTCTCTTTTCTCAATATATTTCACAAAGGATCTCCAATTCTCAAGGATTCTCAAGGAATTGATCAAACAAAATCACCTTCGAAACATTGAGACCACAAATTTGGGTTTTGACTGAGAACGACTGATCACTGACTTTTGACCTAATACGCAATCTATTGGTTTGAAACATGGTATCAAGGATTCAAATTAATAATTTTGACCTAATTGCATATATCAATTCATTTCTCAAGATCAATTGATTGATAGCTGAAATTCAGTCAATTGATGAAAAGTTAATTGATACACCAAAAGTTAAACTTTAACTTTTTGGTCAACATTAAGTTTCAAAGATCAAAATTCATCAACATATTCAAGAATATCAATATTGATCATCAAGAAGTCAAGAAAGTCAAAAGTCAATTTGAAAAGTCAAACTTTTCAAGACTTAGAAATTTTTCTAACTGTTTTGTACATGATAATTTCACTACTTCAGGCCAATTTTTCACAAAGATGCATGATGATTCAAAGGAAACTTTCAACATAAAAGTTGTAGATATTGATGAATTCTAAAACTTTGTATTAGAGGGTTGATGTCCAAAAAACACTTAGATTTGAAGATATAAGCCCATGAAGTCATGACATTTTCATCTAACACTTAAAGAAATTTCCAACAGATTTTGGTCAGGATTTTATCCCAACTTCATGGAATTTTTTCACATAGTTCTAAGATGAATTGTAAAAATGGACAACATGAAAGTTATATAGGATGTTTCAAGCTTTCCAAAACATCCAAGAGCATGAATTTATCATACTTGAGCTAGGAGATTCAAGGGCCTGATGTTTGGCATCCATTCTTGAATTACAAGGCATTTTGTTGAAGAACAAATAATCTAATTTGCATGATGTGCTGCATAATCTTACTTTTAAGTCCTTGTGACTTGCAAATCTATCCATAATCATATGTTTATACAACTGATTGAACAATTATCCAAGTGATTTAAGTATTATCCATTGCATCATTCCATTTATGGTACAAAGGCACCATTTCCATTCACATAAAGCATGCTTTGTGCAATTGTCAACTCCTTGAGCCTCTCAATTATTTTCTCTGCACATACACAATGTCAAAGAAAGAAGCAACATGCCTAAAATCCTCTAGCAACTTTAGACCATGCTTGTACCATGCATTAGAACACCAATTTTCATAATAACTTGGTTGTTTCATCTAAACTAAACCAGAATTTTGACAGCTTGTAAAACAAACTCTATCATTCTCTCAAACCTCCTCTATAAATAGAGAAACCATTTGAAAGCTAAGGGCAGAAGTTTTTGTTGTGTAGACAAGCCCTCAAAATCTCATACTCTAAAAAATCCATAGTTGTCCACAGAACCTCCACTCCTGAGCTTTGAAGTCCAAATCTTTGAACCTATCGTACCTTGCAAGTTCTGTCCAAATAAACCATCAACATACTTCGTTTACCTCATATAGAAGTTGTTCAAACACAAGAACAACTTTTGTTACATCATCATCACCATTTACCAAAAAACAGCAACCTGCAACTTGGTTTCTCCAACTCTAAGTCAAAACACAAATTTCAGTTTCAAGGTAAGTTTTCTTGACTTTGAACTATTCATATAAAGCATCATTAATGATTAATTTGTGAAGATAAAATGTAGATATCATTCCCTTGAAGCTAACCATATGCTTGCTTTTCATTTTCATTAACCATGTGTTGAGAACTGACTTTTACATGTAGCAGAACAATGATAGAAGTAAAAAAAACAGCAGTATGAGTCGATACGAAACACTATGAGTCGACACATGTTATGTACAAAATAGGTTATGAGTCGACACAAAATGCGCATGTGTCGATACGAAATGGAAATGAGTCGATACAAACCCTTATGTGTCGACTCATACTGAACTGTTTTTGACTTCCAGGAGCAAGAAAATGACATGTGTTGATGCAAAACTGATATGTGTCGATGCAAAACGGGAAAATGAACCAATGCAGGCCGTTATGTATCAATACATGCTGAGTTTGGTTTTGATTTTCCAAAATGTTTTATTTATCATTTATAACTTTAATATATTCCTATTGTTATTTCTTCATAAACCAAAAGCCAAAAAAAAAACATTTTTTTAATTAAAATCAATTTCTTTTCTTAAAATTAATTTAATATTTAAACTTACATTTATCTTTTCTTTAAAATTAATTTAGAACTTGGGGATTTTAATTAATTAATTTTTTTTATATATACTAATTTAATTTAATTAAAACATTTTCATAAAAATCCTAAACTTGTTTCTTTAATCAAATTAATTTTCTTAATTAACTTAAGTTTAATTTTCTTAGTCTAATTAATTTATTTTCTTTTAGTTAATTAGGTAAAAACCCTTTCTCCATAACAAAAACATTTTGGTTTCTTTTCATATCATTTTATTCTTGTAATTCCCCAAAATTGTCCTACTCTTTTACTTGTATCTGGCTTATGCATTTTTCACTTCTCGTTTCATGTACATACCTCTCGTTAGGTCATTTGGCATGTCATGCATCGTTAATCAATAAATTTATGGCATGGGATCATGGATTTCGAGGAATTAGGATTGTTGTATGGCTTTAAGGTTCTCATCTTCGCACAAGCTTGTTTCGGTTGATTTCTCCATCAATAATTTGTTTGAAGCTAGGGTTTTATTTCCTGGACTGCTTTATCGTCAAACTACAAGGGTATTCTTTCTTCCCAACATCAAGTTGCAATATTTCTTCAAGGCTTAAGAATTAGGGTTTTCGTCTGTTAATATTCAACTGAGGATCATTGGATTTTCAAGTCAAGGCTATCTTCCATATTCCCATATTCATTCTCTAGATTTCCTCAAGGCTTTGTTGATTGTTAAGACCACTGTTGAACCGTGATACAGGGTGTTGACTTTGAAGGTCCATTATGCTCAGGGCATCATTATTTCAAATACTTGTTGCTTAACATACAAGTTTAGTATGGATTAGAAGATGGAAATGAATTAAGGATTCATTGAAAATTCAAGTTGATTTTGTGTAAGAATTAGATTCAAGCATTGGTTTCATACAAATTTCCAAATTCAGATGATCAAGACCATTTCAATACGAGCAAGCTCACAAGTTCATTCATCATCCATTCAAGGATTCCGTTTATGGACTTTATTCAAGATTCAAATGAAATGGAAAAATCCACAATTGAAAGTATATTCATTCAAGCTTCCTTCAACAACATCCATTCGCCCAAGGTTCCTAATTTGTTCAACTGGCATCAAGAAAGTTTTAAGGTCACAATTTGTCAAAGGTTGATTTAAAGTAAAGTGTCTAACAAGGAAGTTCAAATATTTCATTACATTACATCAAGATACATTCTAATTCCAAAGAAATTCATACAAAAGGCCTATACTTTCTACCAAAATCTATACAATGCCTAATCATGTTATTCCTAATTCTAAGCTACATCATGGCTTTAAAATTATTGCCCTAACTCCATGATTCTGCCTTCAATGTCATGCCTTTGCCAAGCTTGCTCGAGCCTTCATACAATTTTCAGCCCTGCACATTAATACAGAACCAAAGTAAATCCATAATCGAGAAAGCAACCAAGAATACCCTGCATCAATTGCCTATATCAGGCCTGTATATGCTAATCCAACAATAAACCAATCAAAGTCATTCCATGGGATTTCATAAGGCCTATTTAGTATCATCACCTTGCATATTAAATTTCCAGCTTTGAAGCTCAGGCCCTTCATCCTCTTGCCACCACACTGTATTAGCCTAAAACCATACAATTAGTTAGCAAAAATAACTAAACCACGTCACATAAACCATGTCATGACCTTGTAAAACTACAATAGATCGATTATCCATCAAAAGAACTAGCAATTGAGCCAGCCCTACATATCGCATAAACAAAATATGGACTCAGTCACAGTACAAACAACCTGCAGAATTAAGTCATCAACATGTAGAAAATAAAAGGGAAAGATCAGGGGGGTTAAGTCAGAAATGGCCAGCTCGTGTAATTATCCGAAAACAAAATTCTCTAACTCCCAACTCATTCAACCAACAGCTTCTAAGTTCTCCTAATAGCTTATATCTAACCAACCTTCTCACCAATCCTACAAAAAAAACTTCACCCAACGGTTTAATAAATCCTAACAGAAACTTACAATAGCAAAGCTAACCATAACAGAAATAACCATAACTCTTGCTCTCCTAACCGAATTCACTAATTGTCCAACTTTCATAACCAAAAACAGTTCGTAACAAACTCCTAACATAATTCCTCAACCAATTCCATAACGGCTTCAAAAGAAATTTCATAATAGAAAGAGATAAGAAAGGAAAAAATAGAAAAAGGAATTCACGGTTCACTCTTCTACAGCATTCAGAAAATTCACCAGGAAAAAAGGAAAAGGAAAATCAGTTACAAGAAACTCACCAGATTCTTCATCTCCAATCTTCATCCACTTCTAAACCTCTCTCACTTCTGCAGCTTCAATCAGTGATTCATCCTCCATAAGCATCTAAAATTCTCTCGCCTTCTTCGTCATCTTCTTCATTCCTCTGTGTCATCTTATTTAATGCATCATCTTCATCTACATTCTTCAGCAACTTCTATCTGCTTTACAACCTCTTCACAACAACAATAACGATAATCTCTTCACTTCAATCCTGTAACGCTCTTCTCTCTATGCTCCATCGCTGCAACGTTCTTCATCTTCATTCAACCTCACACGCAACAACCATAATGAATAACAGCATCACAACAATGAATTCAAAGAATAAAGAACGAATGAAATAAAGGAAGAAGAAGAAGTAGAAATTACTCTCAAGCAGCTATAAGGAAGCATACTATTGCTTCTGGATTTATTGCGACACCAATGATATTGAAGAGTCACCATAACTACTTCAGTAAGTAAGTCATTCATTTCTCCCTATTTTTTCTTTTATCTTGACATTGTTGCATAGAGAAGAGCCTTGCGAGTTAAATCTCTGTGGAATCGTGTGTTGAAGCTTCGATTGGAGCACTTGATTAAGTTTTTGAAGATTTTAGGGTTTTAGAGTTCTTTTCGGTAGATATAGAACAAGAATCAGAGAAGGGGAGTGGGAGATTAGGATTCACGGGGAAGTGGCAAAGAATAAGATGTAAGAGTTGCAGTGATGGTTGAAGCTCTGCCGCCTCCGGCATGGTGGAGCGATTTCTGGAGAATACAGAGGTGAGAGTGAGAGGAGCGGATCCGCGTGAAGAAGATACATCGTTACAGCACTTTACCCTAATTCCTTTTTCAATTGAACCTAAAAAAATAAAACGGAATGGATTTTTTTTGTTGAACCGGACCGAAAGTCCATTAGGTCCATGATTGGGTTTTTGATGAACTGAAGTGAAACAAAAAGCTGGTTGATTGATGATGGGCCCATGCGTCTGGCAGTACTGCATTCCCTCTGAAGCCCAACATGTTTATTTTACTAAAGGTTATTGGTATAAAAAAAGCATTTTGGGCATCTGTTATTGGACTTAATTCTTCATTATTAATGTTGGAGATAGTCCCTGGACTCAAATTGGCACCCCCTGAATTCACTAATTCTCCATTAGAATTAGGACTTTTTTTTGTTGTTAATTTTTGACAATAAAATGCATGATAAAAACAATGCAAAAACATTTTAAAAAATAGTATAATATAATAGAAATTTTTAGGAATTAATTCTTTAGTTTTTTTAGAATTTTCCTTACATAAAAACTAATAATAAAAATACTTTTCCTTTTAGTTTCTAAAAAACTAATAATAAAAATGCTTTTTCTTTCTTGTTTCCATCCGTATGATCATGCCACTTTGCCATGTTATTTTTAACACGTTTGTTCGTTGTGCAAGGTACTTTTCGCTTTCGATTATGTAACGTGACAAGTTATTGTGTGATTGGAGCATATGGATTATGCTTGCTTCTGATGCAACACACCTTAGATCTCATCGTCTTGAGAAATTCATTTCATATTATATGTCGTCCTGATACATGTGATATTTTGTGATACTTTATGCAGGAACTTTTGATTACGCGTTGCATTCGCAATAAGCGTTTGCTTTATCTTAGTTGGATATTGTTTCTGACTTTGTTTGTTTCTTGGTGAAGCTTGCTCGACGCGTACTCCTTGCTTCTCCATTGCTTTTGTCTACTCTCTATGATCTGCTCGCTTTGGTAGTCGCTGCTACTACTTTCGTACTTCTTCGCACTTTACTACATTTCTTTACCGTTTTTCTAGATATCATGAGAAGTAGGTCTTTACCGCTTTCTAATGCTATGAGAAGTAGGAATATATATGTATGACGGTTGCTGATCATGTCAGGAACCCCTCTGGTTTATTTAAAGACTCGTTTAGGGCAATTCCGCATTGTATGCATTCTGTTTGCTACTTGCGTGTGGTTTGTTTAAAATCCTACCTTTGTGTAGGTATTCTGCAGGTGTGTTTATATTTGTGCCTGCATAATTCCCCATCCCTTATTGAAGTTATCAAAAGGAGGCGAGCGGAGAGGGTTATCAATCAACCCCCACATTTTCGTTCGTGACATCCTTAGCTCGTGACGCACCACGAAGCTTCGGAGTTGTGCCTGCTCTTGTGTATCGAGTCGTCAAGTGGGGAAGGGTTCCACAGTCAAACCCTCATGCTTTGTCAGGATTTCCCATTGGCCGATGTTGATACTCCATGATTGTTTATATTGTCTTAGGCCGCTTACCTCGATCTCATATATCTTGGTTAGGTGTTCAGTCACTTTGGACATCACTTTTTGTTTTACATCTCACTCCTGCTTGTTTGTCTCGGGTGATACGCTCCCCTTGGCTAAAGCATTTCTCTTCTTTACCTTATTCTTTTATGTGTGTGCTTCTTCAAGCTTGTTTGCTTTTCCTTGTACATACCATGTTCCCTTAGGATGCGCTTGCTCCATTCGGATGCAAGTTAGACCTTAGTTGTAAACCATGCATGCTAACATTAGGTAGACGTTTCCCTTTTGTTAATCCAAACCTTAGGACCACCATTATATGATAACATTAGGTTTAGAAATAGGCTAGTCTCCCTTATACTCTTTTTCCCCCTTTTGCACATGCATTTAAAACTAAAACTTCTTTTCTTAGCAAATCATAAAACATCCTTATTACACTTAAGCCCTTTTTCAAGGTAACAAAATACAAACCAACTCAAACCTTTTGTGTGTCCAAGCACCTTTTCTCTAAAACCCTTTTCAGGTAAGGACATGATTAATTTACTTCTGTGACAACGCCTAAGTCTCCAAAGGTCGAGCTGCGGTAGAAAGCGGAATTAGCATTGTCCATAAAAAAAAAAAAACAAACAAAAACATGTGAGTTAAACTACGGTAGCTCTGATTCCTCAAAAAGGATACATAGGCATTGGGGTAGGGCCCAGGCGAGTAGAATTTTATTTTCCCTACATTATTTTTTCCTTTATTTTGCATGCATTCTTTCCTCAGTAATAAACACTAAGCATAAATTAAACACACCCATAAGATAGATAACGAGAGTGGATATCATAGAGTACTACGAGCTTATGGGGTGCTAATACCTTACCCTCGCATAACAGACTCCCTTACCCGATCTCTCAGTCGCAAGACCGTCACTTCTCCCTTCACAGGTTTTCTCGATGTTTACCTTTCCCTTCATGTGGAATAAAATACGTTCCATGGTGACTTCATTGTTTGATGATTTTCAGCCGGTTGTTTCATCTGGCGACTTCACTGGGGAAAGGTCGACCAAATGTTGGTCCATCCTGGAGTCGCTCCTAGCTCTTGTTTCTTTTTCTTTGGGTGTTTTATTTTTTATGTTTTCTATTTATTCATCCATTTTGTATATACCTGAGCATATTTATGCATTGCATTTTACTATTTTCCATACGCTACTACTGTATTGGATCTGTTTCTTGTTGGGTGGGTGTTACAAGAGGTAAAAGGCCCAATACCCAGGCCAAGTAATAACCACAGGAATCCTAGGAATAGAGTGGAACACAACGGATATGGGATGTAGATTACCCTAGACGGTTGTGTCGTCCATGCTCAGATGAGGTTTTAATGTGGTGCTATCATTATCACGTACGTGTACGATGATAGTACTCTCAAGCGAACCAGTGATTTTGAGTTACCCGACTTTATGTTGACCTAGTTTTCACCCGTGAGTGAGGAGGGAATAATTTATCACTGTACAAATGGTGACTATGCTCAGATGGTGACTATGTTCAGATGGTTACTCACAGACGGTGACTATTGGTTCTAATGGTTATGTTCTGGATTTCTATCAGTGACTATGAGGTTCTCAGATTTATTTTCTGATTTCCGAATCTATTCATGAGGTTCTTTGGTTTATATTTTGGACCTGTGATCCTGGTACTTACAGAATATGCAGAGACAGTACAACAGAAATTAGTATCATGGAAGTAGTAACCCCGTGATCATTTTCACTTACATCATATCATATTTATGTTTTAAAAGAAATGTCAGAAAAAATAAAACTATATACTAACCTTGCATGTGCATGTCCATTCCTGGTTATCTCACGAAGTTATAGTTTTCGTCAGTAACGTCTAGCAACAGTGATGTTCTCAAGAGGACCAGAAGAGACAATTGTACTTATCAGTGCTGCTCAAGTTTTCCGCTCAAGTTCTGGGCCTTCTTTGAAGAGTTAAAAAAACCTTTTAGTCTGTCCTGATGCAGAGGTTTTTAGTGAGAGACATGGTAGCACTTTGACTCTATTTCAGTTTTACGACTATAAGTTATGTTGTTTTACCTTCCAAGACTATCAGATCGTTCCAACTCCGAAAGAATACTCTCATTTGTTCAAGACTATCGAGCACATACTTGTTGTTATTCTGAGCGAGCATGATTTTGAAGCTATTGCTAAGGAACTTTATTTGGGCCTTAGTAATGTGAGATAGAGATATAGAAATAATGGTAGCCTACCTTCATACTGATTATTATATTATCGTCTTGATTACCGCCAGGCTTGTTGGAAGAAATCGCTTATCTTGTATTCTCGCAACTCTCTTGTATTAAATTCCATGGGAATTTCTCCTATTTCTAGATATTTTCTTTATATGGTCGTCCTTATAGCCATGTTGCTCGATTATTACTGACGTTAATTGAGTTGAGGAAAACTGGAATGGACAATTATTTCATACATCATACATATCATGCATTTCATGAATTGCATGTTTTTTGGCGGGAATTTTTATCTGATGGTTTTTGCCTCTTATTATCATAATCTACAAGACGATTTCCTT